AGCGTTTGCCTTGTGCTCTCGTGTGTGTGTGTCCCTCCTGCCATGGTTTCGCCAGGTCCCAGCTCCTCTGCTTGTGCTGGTGCCTGTGCTGTCTGTCTGGTGCTGGTGTGTGCACGCCTTCTCCCGGCGCGGGCAACACCTCCCTCCTGTGGCACTTCCCAGCACATACACACTGCGGTCCTTTGGGGTGCCCAGGGGAGCCAGGGACCCTCCGGCTCTGCAGTGTCTTTCTGCCTGCGCCCCCTCTCCAGAAGCTGTGTGGGGTGGGCTCAAGGTTAAGGCTTTACTCCAGATCGGGACAGAGTGTCCTTGGGGTGCCTGGGAGGGGACAGCACGGAGGCAGGGTTCCCCAGGGACAAAGCCTTCTGGGGTCCTCCCTCCCCGTTCCCAGCTGCCCTCACAAGCTCATCTCTCCATTGCAGTTCGTCTGCAAGAATGACAAGTGCATCCCTTTCTGGTGGAAATGCGACACCGAGGACGACTGCGGGGACCGTTCAGACGAGCCGGAGGACTGCCGTGAGTGCCCAGTGGGGCTGAGCACAGCCTGCGGTGTCCCAGCACCCCGGCCACGCTGCCCGGCTCGTGCCAGCCCTTGTGTGGCTGCTCCCCCAAAGCCCTGCTGCTGCTCTGGCTTCGGGACAGCACTGCTGCTCCCTGCGCAGCTCTGTCCCAGAGGAGGGTTACCCCACTAACAGGACTTAGAGGGCAGTGGGATAACGCGCTGTCCCTGCCTGGGGTGTTGCCCCGTGGAGGACAACAGCCGTCTGCTGCTTTTGGAGCAGAGCTGCCCCTTCACTGCGCCAGATCCCGGGGTGGGGTGCTGGTTGCTCAGTCCCTGCTGGGGACCCCAGAGAGGAAAGCGGGAGGTTAAGGTTTGCCCTAAAAATGTTCCCCAAAGCAAACGTTTCAGCTGGTCTTACTTGCCCCACAGCTGAGTTCAAGTGCAGGCCAGGGCAGTTCCAGTGCTCCACTGGGATCTGCACCAACCCAGCCTTCATCTGTGATGGAGACAACGACTGCCAGGACAACTCGGATGAAGCCAACTGCGGTAGGTTCTCTACCTCCCCTTGTGACCCTCAAACCCCAGCAGTGCTGCAGCGTCCCAGCAGAGCAGAGATGCAGCGTGTCAGCTTTTGTCCGTGCTGCCTCCCTTCCCAGATATCCACGTCTGCCTGCCCAGCCAGTTCAAATGCACCAACACCAACCGCTGCATTCCCGGCATTTTCCGCTGCAACGGTCAGGACAACTGTGGTGACGGCGAGGATGAGAAGGACTGCCGTAAGTGGGGGGCTGTTAACCATGTCAGGGATGGGGAGCGTGCACGGTTTGGGTGAGGAGTTCAGCACTGCGTCAGATCCGTGTCTGGGTATGGGCTGCCTTCTGGGAGGTCCTGCCCCTGGGCATGGGGCTTTCTCCTTACCTCTGCTCTGCACAGAGCCTCTGTCCACCAACACCCTGCTGCCCCTACAGACAATTCTGTTTCCTAGCGGAAACAAAATCCTTAAATCCCACAGAGTGGCAAGTTCAATATTTGCTGTGGATTTGCACTGAGCCTATTATACAGCTGAGGGATCTTGTGGCTTCTGTCCCGTCTACCTGCGGCTGGTCGAGTCTTCTGGGGCCACCACAGGGTTCTGCTCCCTTGCCCTCTCTGCACGTGGTCACCAAACATGGCCAGAAACTTGTTGTGATGCGCAGAGCACCCGCGTGCCTCTCTGCTCTGAGGGCTGGTGGCTGGCAGACCCCTGCCCGTCCTGCTGCCTCTCCTGACTCTGCCTCTCCCTCCTGCAGCTGAGGTGACTTGTGCCCCCAACCAGTTCCAGTGCGCCATCACCAAGCGCTGCATCCCTCGCGTCTGGGTGTGCGACCGGGACAACGACTGTGTAGATGGCTCAGACGAACCCGCCAACTGCAGTAAGAAGCCTGTGCAGGGCCGGGGGGGGTGGGGGGGTCTGGCCACACTGAAACCAGGAGCTCCCCCACAGCCGGTCACCTCTGTGTCTTTGCCTGCGGGATGGCGGGTCCCTGCTGAGTCCCTGCAGGTGCTGCGGGCAGTGGGTGACGGTGGTGATGACTCTGCCTGGATCTGTCCCACTGAGATACTCCTCTCTCTGAATTCTCCCCGGAGAACTGTTTGAAAAGGGGGGGTCTTGCCCGCCCTGTTCCAGGCAAGGGTGCTGCTGTCGGCTCCAGCCTGCTGAAACAAGGTGTTCATCAGCCCCGTGGAGAAAGAAACATGCGTGGCCAATGCTAACCCCACCTCCCCTCCCCATGTCCATGTCATCTTGTTTCTCCCCACCAGCACAAATGACGTGTGGTGTGGATGAGTTCCGGTGCAAGGACTCGGGCAGGTGCATCCCTGCGCGCTGGAAGTGTGACGGGGAGGACGACTGCGGGGATGGGTCCGACGAGCCCAAGGAGGAATGCGGTGAGCAGGGACTGGGGCTGGGGAGACGAGCCCAGAGGGAAACTTGTGCCCCACACCCTTCCCCGGGGGTCAGGCTGCCCTGGCGCTATCTGTCCCCTCTACCTCCCTGCTGTGCCAGGGCTGGGGGAGGGTTTAGCAGGTCCTTTTCGGAACCGTGTGGGCAAGGCCGGGTGGGAGGGCGGCTGGCAGAGAGCAGTGCTGCCCAGCACGCCGGCTGGCATGCCCACCCCTCACCTTGTACGGGGGCAGCACTGATGCCTGTCACTGTCTCGTCCCTCCCAGACGAACGCACCTGTGAGCCCTACCAGTTTCGCTGCAAGAACAACC